CCTCGTGCACCCGCCTCGCCCTCGTCAGCATCGTGTCGTCGCCATCATCGCCATTGTGTGATTTCTTGTGTGAGATGAAGGCCAGGATCGAAGAGGGACCTGAGCTCACCGGCAAGAGCGGGTTGATTGACATCCTGGAAGTCACTGCAGGTCTGATGGATGTGCTCTTCCACGAATCCTCGCAGAATCGTTCGCAAATCGACTTCATCTCGGGCCAATTTTGTGGGCGCAGAGGTCATACTCGAGATTGGAGGTTTGGCTGCTCGTCCCTGCGTGCTGTCTTGGTTGCCGCTCATGAGCGGAGGTGGCGGACCCGCCTCGTCATCGTCATCTTCATCGCTCCCGTCGAAAATCTCCCAGGCCTGAGCCATTGGCGTCGACGATTGCTGTAGGGTCGGCGCAGGCTCCTCCGTCGCAAGTGGCGGCATGTCGCCATCCTCATCGTCGTCGAACACGCCCCAAGCGTCATCGTCCTTGGCCAGCAGCTTGGGCTCCATCTCGAAAATAAATAAATAATAATTGGAATAAAATTAAAAAAATAAAATAAATATCTGTTACCATAGTATGTAGTATACACGACGATTGACAGGAAGTCACTGACGGTTCTTCCTCGCCCACTCCACGTACTCGTCAAAGAGAACCGGCCAGGCAGCTGCCTCGTCGTAGATGGACAGGTCGGCCTTGGTGTGCGTCAGGAAGTCCAACAGGTTGGTCCACTGGTCCAGATTCAACGCCTTGCACGACGTTTGCTGCACGCGTGACCACCACAGATAAGCGAAGCTCCTTCATCAGACCAGGCTCGGCCAGGCCAAGCCCAGCCCACACCACACAGAGACGAGGTACCTGGGACAGGAATTCGAGGAATGGCTGCACGTGGGGGTAGTCGTGAGCTGGCGGCTGGAGCAGCAGCGTGATCAGCACCTCGGCCACGTTCAGGTCTGAAAAATGAAGTAAACAACAACCATGACAACCATTACATCATCATCATCAAACGGTGTGCGTGTGTGCGTGTGTCGTGTGTGCGTGTGTGCGTGTGTGTGCGAGCGTACCGATAATCTTGGCGTCGTCCTTCCCTTTGGCATAGGCGAAGGCGAACCGCCAGATCTCCTGCAGCGTGGCGGGGTTCTTCAAGTCCGCTGGCAGCTGGCGCTCGAAGAGGTGGCGCAGCTTGGGGACGGAATCCACCCTGCGTGTGCACAGTACCCGTCTCAATGAGTAACGTAACGGATTCGAAGAAAGTGGCGCGAGGCACGCATTCAACGCACTTCAGCGCTTGAAGGCCGGAGATAAACTCGTCGTGCGTGAACATGCCCATGGTCTTGGCCGCCAGTCGCCAGGTGAGCACCAGGCACGAGCGGCTAGACGCGGGGAGGGAAAAAAACAGGTCAGCCGGTGGAAGGAAGCTTACGGTCGCGGGCATGCGGGGTGATGTGCGTACGTCGTCGGGATCAACGCCCACATCGCTGCTCATGAGCTCAATGCCGGACCGTCGAATGCCGTCAATGTCTTCGTCCTCGTCCTCGCTGTTGTCATCCTCACCACCTGCAAACAGTGGGTGTGAGTGAGCCCTGCATGCCGACCGCCACTTGCAAGTGCAGGTGTGCGCGTATGTGACGTGTACCGGGCGCGGTGCGGTATCGGGCGTAGAGGTGCTCCAGCCGCTCTCGGGCAAACTCCACCCGGGCCAAGCTCTTGAACTTGGCGTGGTAGCCGCGCTCCCACTCGGCCAGGCTCAAGCTGCCCGCAGGTGGTGAATTGTTAGGCACCTCGTCCTCCTGGCGGCG